TGGAGAACTAAACGTCACAAATTCCTCCTAATGGTGATGTGCTTATTTTAAAATTATTGCATGGAGGTGCACCCTGGCCTTGGGCACTGCCAGGGATCCAGGGGCAGCCCCAGATGCTCTGGGCACCTGTGCCAGGGCTGCCCACCCTGCCAGGGAACAATTCCCAATTCCCAATCTCCCACCCATCCCTGTCCTCTGGCACTGGGAGCCATTCCCTGGCTCCTGTCCCTCCATCCTTGTCCCCAGCCCCTCTGTAGCTCTTCTGGAGTCACTTCAGGGGCTGCCAGGGGCTCTGAGCTCTCCCTGGATCCTTCTCCTCTCCAGGGGAGCCCCCCAGCCCTCCCAGCCTGGCTCCAGAGGGGCTCCAGCCCTCAGAGAGAACATTCTCTCCTGTCTGAACATTTGGGCATCATGTTACTTTCTTTTTTTTACATCTAAAAATAATTACTTTTGATGGTACATTCATATAATTGCCAGCTCCCATATTAAATATCTGCAGACTGTCTCACACATTTCATGGCTTTACACAATACAAGATTGTAGCATGCAGGGAAGTGTCAGACTGTTTCCTTTTCTAAAAACTGAAATTCTGAGGGCACTTAAACCATCACCTTTGAGTCTGATGTGTGAATAAAAATGCACTCGTGGCTAGAGGTGCCTGGGATATGTGAAGCTGGTAGAGATGGATGTCTGTGAGCAGAAATAAGGATTAGTTAGTGTGTAAGTATTCATCATTGATTCCACATTTTGGAATTTCCACTATCTGGTCTTTCTCCCTGGATGAGCAGTGAGCAGACACAGCTACACCTCATGGGCCAGTCCCTCTCACCTTTTGCTTAACAAACTCTCAGTAGCTCTGAGGTCTCCCTTGGACTAATTTATCACTCCTTACATGCAGTTACGATGCGAGGGAGATTCTGTCAGATCTGGAGATTGTAATATCAAGGCAAAGACATGGCTTTTGGCTCTCCTGGCTCCCATCTGTGTGCAATGCCTCCCTCTGTGCCAGGCAGGGCAAATGTCAGGGCTCAGCTCCCTGCAGGGCTGCCTCACATCCCTCCCTGCTGGGGGCTGCTCAGGAAAGAGCTGCAGCACCAGGAGATCAAACTCCATCTCACCTCCATCCCTGGGCTCCCTGAATCACTGGATTGCTCCAGGAAAGAGCTGCAGCACCAGGACATCAAACTCCCAAAACTCCCATCTCACCTCCATCCCTGGGCTCCCTGAATCACTGGATTGCTCCAGGAAGGAGCTGCAGCACCAGGAGATCAAACTCCCAAAACTCCCATCTCGCCTCCATCCCTGGGCTCCCTGACTCGCTGCCATCCAGGCTCTGGGGAGCAGCTCCAGCTGCTGAGAGCTCCCAGCAGCAGCAGAACACTGGCTGGAAGGGCCGCTTTTGTTCAGAAATCTCTTGGAAATTTGGCAAGTGAGTCCAAAAAGAAAATTCTAATAATGACAGGGTAAAAAGGAGAACAAACCTCAAGCAACATTGAAGCAAAATAAATTTCTCAAATACACAAAGCCAGGCAGTTTCTGGGGGGCATGAGTGCAGGTATGGAGAAAACTGCTCAGGCTGTGTCAGAGCAGCAGAAAATCCCTGAGCCTGCCTCGCTGTGAGGGGAGCTGGCCACACCTGCTGGGTTTGTCCCCCTGGGCCAAGAAAAGCCCAGCAGCTCTGGGGACGAGGTGCTGCTGGCTGGGGAGGCTGGGGGCAGCCAGGGACGGGCACAGCTCTGTGTGCCAGGAGCCACGCTGCCCTCAGCTCTGTGCTGGCACCAGGAGATGCCCGTGTTGCTGCAGGGACCTGCCTTTGGCTGGCTGCTGAGGCCAGCAAATCCGAGCACTGAATTTGGGGTTCTGGGTGCTCCTCTCTCAGGCACTGCTGTCACACCCAGCACCTCTGGAAAACATCCCAGGGGTTGTTCCTCTTTGCTGGCCTCAGGGAAGGACATGTGGCATCTCCCAGAGAGCTGTGGGAATCCTTAGAGGAGAGCATCCTTCCAGCCTGGAAAAGAGCAGTTTCAGCTTTGGGCTGAGAGAGTTTGGCTGGGCTCTGAGGGAGCAAAGGCAGGGGGACTTTTCCAGCCACAGAGGAAAAGGAAAGAACAAGGAAGGGACTTGGCTAAACACGTGTCAATGCCCACGGAGCACGCCGTGGGTGAAGGGAAGGCAGCCCAGCCCGGGCTCTGAGCCTTGCCTGAGTGCCCC